CTCTTCCCCAAGCCAAAGTTTCGGAGGGTGGTCAAGGTGAACCTCCTCTGTGCCTTCCACAAGTGCCCACTGGAGGAGATCAGTCCTGGAAGAAACAGCCCCCTGTGAGCCAAGGCTGATCCCCTACTGAGGGGAAAAAGCTCCAGGGCTCTGCTTTCTCCCCAGCTGTCTCAATCCTCTGCAGGGTTGTCACTTGGGCCTTACAGCTGAGTTGCATGTTCTGAGAGATCACTCACCTATCTTGCTGAACATATCCATAGGAATTTCTGGGCGATCCAAAAAGTTTTCCCCTTGGTTTACAAGCACTTCCTTAACCAGCCGCATTCCATTTACTACCACAAACTTCATGCTGCCCATGGACATGCCGAAGATGTCACCATATTTTTTAGTGTACTGGGAGGAGAAATAATAAAGGCAGTTTCATTTGAAGTGAAGGTGTCTGTTGGGACAGGGACAGCTCTGTCAGGGCATACAGGTGAATATAAGGGAAGCTGACAGTGTGAGGAGACACATAATTTTTGCACAAATCCCTGCCTGACTGCACAGTGTTTTTTCTTCCCTCTTTTTCTGAATCACTTATCACTAAATCAGGTAAACCTCTCCAGGTTTGATTTTGCAGTTCTGTGCTTTTCTAGCTTTTCCCTTCCCAAACACCCTTCCAGCCCCCAACTCAGACCTATGGGGCTCCTACAGATGTGAGTGCACCTGTGGGATCATGTTGTGCCCTTTGCCCCAGGGATCACTGCACACTTGTGCCCCGCCGTGTACCCAGGTAAACTGTCAAGGGCAACCCTCCTGCCTGCCTTCCTGGCCCATGGGGTCTATTTTAACCCCTTCCCTGTAGGGGCATTTCCCTCTGTCCCTTCCCCCACAGTGCCCACCACCCTCGTACCTTCTTCACTGTGATATGGGGAGCTTTGAAGTCCATCATGTAGATGTGCCCTAAAAAGGGAAGGCGGAAAGGGGTGGGAGGGAAGTTCTTTGGGTTTCTGTTCTTCATGTAGTCAGCAACAAACAGGAAAACAACAAAGAAGATGAGGAGTGTATGGAAGGAGATGCTGTCCCAGAGGAAGTGCAGCATGGCTGGATGGGGGGGCTGTGCACGGACGTGTCCCACAGCAGGTCAGGGCAGGTCGAGCTCCCAGGGCACCAGTGAATCCCCAGGGACAGGGGCAGAGGGGTGATGTGCTGGCTCTGTGGGCACAAACACAAGAGAGCACGGAGTAGCTTTTGCTGCCCTGGTCTAGAGGCTGCTTTCAGACTCCTGCTTTG